TGTGTGTGTGTGTGTGTGTGTGTGTGTGTGTGAATGTGTATGTACAGTATGTATTGGGTTTTGCTTAAATTCTCTGCAGTCTTGAAAACTGTAAACTCAACTCAAAGGGATTCCTCCCCCACATCAGGAGCTGGTGTCCATTGGTTTATTCTACGTCTGCAATCACCTGACCACTTCGAGGGGCAGCACCGAGCACACGGACGTCCAGATGGATCCACCAGCGGAGGAATTCGAAGCGTCGGTGATCATGCAGGTGGAAGAACAATTCAAAATAAATGGATAAACTGAGCAGCTGTGGATGCAGATAAACACCCAACTCGAGACCCATTACTGTGATTTACAGTCCAGTTCCTGGTGGCGGATTAATAACCAGTCATAAAGAAGAGGAAGGAGGCGTGTGTGTTGCAGGAGGACTGGAGTGAAGGCTCAGCTAGAGGTGGGAAGACAAAAGAGGGGTGTGTAAAATGAGGGAGCGAGGAGTAGATAAAGCCGGAGCCGGGACCATGAGCTCTGCACTGTCCTACGACTCGCTGTCAGCCCGGCCGAGTCCCAGCAGGCGAGCTTTGGACTGGGAGCGCGAGCGGCTAGCTGTGCGACGGCTTTCCTCTCCATTGGGGGTTAACCTGCTAACCCCTCCTCCTCTTCCTCGTCGACCTTCCGCCATCCCCGGCTACCTGCTCCCTACTTACCAGGAGCAAGACGAGCAGCTCCACCAGCACCAGCAGCGTCTGTCCTTGTCTGTGGGCTCGGAGGCCTCGCTGGCGCCCCCTGCTCCTCCACCAGTGGGTGCCGCCCCACCCTGCTGTCGCCCGGTGGGAGTCATGCACCTGCTGCGTCTGGGTCTGCTTGCCTTCAGCTGCCTCTTCTGGGCAGCTGGTTTGGCTATCTTCACCTTGGGTGTCTGGGCTCAGATCTCTTTGGCGGACTACATGACGCTGTCAGCCAATCGATACCCCAACGCTCCGCTCATCCTCCTGGCCACAGGGGCTGCTGTCACGGCTTGGGGTTTCTTGGGTTGTCTTGGGGTGGCTGCAAACCTGCCCTGTCTTCTGAGGGCCTATGGGTTTTTTCAACTTGCCACTCTTGTAGCCGGTTTGGCAGCTGGACTCTCTGGCCTCTTCTACCGCGAAGACATTGCCGGAGGTTTTCGCAGCGGCTTATTGCGAGCCGTGGCAGGCTACACGGAGGACGAAGGCCGTGCCGACGCTCTAGACAGCCTGCAGAGAGCCTTGGAGTGCTGCGGTGCCGAGGGGTGGCGCGACTGGCTCACGTCCGACTGGGCTATCCAGCACATGACTTTCATTCCGGCTGAAAACGGCACCTCAGTATCCCTTCCGGATAGCTGCTGTGTGAGGCGAAAGGGCTGCAGGAATCGACCTCTTCTGTCCGACGACGGCGAAGGCGTAGATGCAGCAGGGATTCACCCCCACGGCTGCTTCCGCAAAGTCTTCAGCTTGGTCAACGACAACGTCTTTCACATCGCCGCTACCGTGTTGGGGTTGGCCTTCACTCAGATCGGAGGCATTGCTCTCGCTTGTCTTCTAGCCAACAAACTGGCACCCAGGCAGCATGGACGGGTAGTGGCGCATTGATAGTCATTCAGTTTCTTTTTAATTGGCCAAAAGAATCTGAATGGAAGTAGGTTTGGCAAAGTTTTTATCTGGAAGGAACAGTRATGTCATCCAATTAAATTTAAGACACAAACATTTCGAAATTCTTTAAGACCTCATTAGTCTTCAGGTAGAAAACAAACTACCTTTGTTTGGGAAAATCTTTGACACCTACACGGAAATTTGACCAGTTGCCAAGTGTTGGTCAAGCCATGATTATCAGATTTAGCTAGATTTTGGCCTTTTTTTGGGCCATTTTTGGCTTAAATTTAGCCGTGGCCAACAATTGCCTTTGTTGGTGCACAACAGATCTGATTGAGTTTTACCACCTTGCTAGGTTCCAGACCATCAATCACACCTCAGTCCTGATAAAAACAGATTATAAAGAGGCCAGAACTATTGTCACCTACAATTGCGTGATCATAATCAAATCTGTAAAGTCTCAGTCAAGCTCCTGTATTTACTTGATATTTACTCATTTGAAAAAATGTCTTTTACATTCATGTAAATAAAATGTGTTGCATGTGTGCACAACAGAAGTTCTTGCTGTATAAATTGGCATTATTAAAAGAAAGCACAATAAGTTTTCTGGATTTGAAATGTGTTTCAGGACTTTTTCTTTCTTTCTTTCTTTCTTTCTTTCTTTCTTTCTTTCTTTCTTTCTTTCTTTCTTTCTTTCTTTCTTTCTTTCTTTCTTTCTTTCTTTC